AAAAACAGGCATTCAAAATACTGTATAGTATAATTCTATTGATGAAAGCAACAATAAATAATACAATATACGTTACATAAGGAACAAACACTAGCTATGCGGTTAAGTAATGTCTGTATTAACCTTTCAACTGCGTTTGGCGTCATATGATGTTAGCATTTTGCGAGCAACATTTTGAATGGGCCACCGCAAAAATTTGATGATGACAAAACCTTGTCGAAACGTTGTACATTTGCTGTTATGTTAAACTTATATTAAAGTTTTTCTTCGTTACCCATTCAAGCCGTCTCCAACCATTATAAAACATTATGAAGTCCTTTTCAGGAATATGTACAAAATGGTTTACTTTATAATCTAAGCACATCGTGATGAGAAAAACAAGGAATAAAGTGATAGAAAAAACGTTGGCCAAGTAGAGTAGATAACTGTGTTGATATCAATTTTAAGAAAGTTTAAAACATCACTTTCTGTCGTCAAACTGACTGTTTGGCTCCAGTAACCATTAGTACTCGAGACCGAACTGACGAGCCCTGATATTAAACGATAGGCCTCGTCAGCACTGGATATAGCAGATGAATTTTACATATTCTTACATTCATCTTTACTTTCACTCTTAAGTTCTTATAATTTCAAGTGTTAAAACTCCACTTTTCTTCATGAAATTGATTTTTGCTACAGTAATTTAAAATAGGCGAGACCATGTTGATGTTACGAAAGTAGAAACTCCATTTTTCGCCCTAGTGGCACAGATGTATGTCTGCGGACTTCTGGCGCTAAAAGCCAGTAGTGAACGAAACAAAAATATCTGATTGTGTAGCTTTGCGCATAACTACCAAAAACAAATTCCACTTGTCGTCATCAAATTAACTCTGGTTCCATTAACCATAAATAGTCGAAATCGTATTCATGTTACAAATGTTAAAACTCTACTTAATCTTATCACACCAATTGTGGTCTCAGTAACTCTGTTCCCCCGGTGGGTCAACAGTAAGTTCGTGGATTTACAATGATAAAATATTACATTGCGCTAGAAAACAACAGCAGTATCCATTGATTGTCGTGAATAATTCCGAGAGCAGGTACGTATATATAATATAATCATCATTGTTATATTATTCTTCAAAACACACACAAGCTATATTTTTTACACACATTAAACAACTAAACTTGTGTGGCAAGTAAAAACCAAAGCATCTTTAGCCAGCTTAAGATGTTGAAAGTTATGATTATAAAATATAAATATAGTTATATTGTTGACAGCAATCTGCATAAATCAGTTATGTTGCTGAAAGCAATCTGCATAAATAACTAAAAAACAGCAACAATTTTTAACATCTGTCAGGCTGTCGCGAATGTAACTACAGAGAGCTCTTTCCGAATTTAAGGTGGCGAACATTAGGTAGACGATCTAGTTTAACTATGACATAAAGATTGGTTAACAAGAGAATTATGAAAGTATTATGCGTAAAATGCCCATTCCGTGAATGCACTTTATTCGCTGTATTTTTATGGTGTTTAAATGAAAATTTACGGAGCACTTTTTTATGTTATCTTATACTTTTATTCCATGCTTATATCTCCGTAGAAGTGTCTTTACTACTAGTAAGTACCGTAATATTTTCTAATCAATGGAATAGCTGCATTGACGAAGTCTTTGGATTTTAAGTTCCTGAAAAACAACTACCAACTTACTGCCTCCTGATCAGCATTTTCTTTTGCTAGAATGTAAACATCTTAACATCATAGTAAATTAACGGTTGTAAAGTTTAAAAAACCTAAGAATATCGCATGTATTTATTTTGCATTATATAACAAGTTCATTTCAACGTTAAGACCGAAAAAAACTGCCTAAATATGTTTTTGAAGATTACTAAATATTTGTCAGGACGTAAAACGAAACGTCGACTTTTTTTTAAAATCCTTTTGCAACCAAGAAGTACAGAGTTGAAAATTTAAACGAAGTTTCCTGTAAAACATTTTTATCCATGTTTTCTGCAGTTATTTTAAATTAAGATAATTTCGGTTTCAGTTTTTTGTTAAATGTTATTGATTTTATAAAACGAAACGAGAGATCTCGATGTTTTTCTAAGCTTTATGCAACCATGTTAGCACAGAGGTGAAAGCTCTTCACATTTTAATGAAATTTCGTGGAAAGCAGTTTTATCTAGGTTTTTTCTGCAGTTGTTTTAATAATTGAGAATATATATTTCACTGTCTGTCATAAAGTTTTCTGTTATTTAAATTTTGAACAAGATATTTTTGATACGTTTAATATACATTAAATGAAATGCATATCGTATATATTATTGATTAAAAAGTCCTTGCTTTAAATATGGTCTCTTTGTTTTATTCACACATATATTTAAGGTTTAAATAATCTTATGCTTAATGAAATGTGTGCGTGTTGTTTGAAGTACACTACGTATCGACCTAAAAGTTAGGACTCACTTTACTTGCAGACAATTAAGTCAAAATTTAGCTTACTCGTGGGCCGCAGAAAGAATTCACCCAATCTGTAAACTTCAAAGTTAAGATTCTCCTCATTTATAGATCTAATTTTCAATTTTGAAATTTACGCTTTTGACTTTAAGCTCAATGTTTATTCTGCTTATAGAACTCAAGACCAAACTCATTTTACTAGTTTACAGGCTGAAAATCTTATTTCACCCTACTTGTAGACGTCTAGGTCTTGATTTACCTTACTTATAATAAATTTCAGTGACAGGGTTCACTCTAATTTATAGACCCAAATATCAAGAATTATCCTTTTTTTATGAACCATAGAGTAAAACCAGCAACGCTTATCCTTTTGTAAATCTTATTCTGAATTGAATCTAATGATACATTTTACAGCCAAGAATAGACACTACTCTAAAACTTGGCTTCTTACACTTTTAAGGTTATACGGCTGATGTAACTTGAAAATATTTTTCCAGAACCATACTTAATTCTTTTGTACCCAAGAAAATGAAAATGTTGTTTAATTTCACAAAAATAGTCAAGTCTATAAGTTCAGCCCCCCAGTAGCACAGCGGTATGTCTGCGGACTTACAACGCTAGAATCCGGGTTTCGATACCCGTGGTGGGCAGAGCACAGATAGCCCATTGTGTAGCTTTGTGCTTAACTTCAAACAAACAAACTATAAGTTCAATCCAAATTAGCAAACATAGCAACTATATTCTAGAAAGAAGTTGAAAAACACGACTGCCAATACAGAAGCACATTAAGCCTAACTAACACCCACGGGATCATAATAACGTACTTCTTTCAGTATTTGGGTAAAAGTTAAGGCCATAATTATTAATACTGCAATCATATTCACGTGAACATGCTACTCTAACTTCTTCTTACACCGGAGTGTCACTTATAAATATGTTTTAAGTTTATTACCATGGTTGTTAACTGCTGACAGAATCGTGAGAGTAACAACGAAATATTATGGTAATTATTCAAATCTTATAACTTATGACAATTCCCGGTTTCTGTGGTATTTGTGAGTCTAAATGTTATAATATTAATTAGTTCGTGCTTTTTCTTGTTTTTATTTATTTATTTTTCTTGGATACCGAACGTGGAAGAACTGAAGCGTTTCGAATGTATTATATATATAATTATATATAATTAGTGAAATTGTCACAGAAAACTTAACAGTTAAAAGATGCACATTTTTTGAACAGCAAAATAATATTTATCTTGATTTATCACGATCTCATTAAGCAACTGTTTTATTCACAGTGATACTGTATACATGCGAAAAATTTAAGTTATTTAAGTAACATTTTTCGGTAGTAAATATATTCAAAATATTTTACGTTATTTAGTTGTCAAAAAGTTTTTAGTTTTAAAAAAGACAAACACACACGAACTTTCTTAATAAATCGTAGTCAGTCGAAAAGATCTGTATTTGGGTATCTGAAAGTTTTTTTCATATCAAATCACTTTTTTTGGACCACGTTTCACAAAATCAATCGATGTAAACTATCAGTAACAGCTGTTCATTAAAACTTTATTGAAGTAGAACTGGCAGTGATCATTACACACATACAAACTAAGCAATCTTATAAAATATCGAAGTAAAATAAATAATAAATAATAGTTTGTTTAAATACTTGTAAAAATATAATATTTTGATTTTTTTACTTTATGTGGCAAAAGCTTTCTAGCCTTACAATCACACGATTTGGAATCAGTTAACAGAAATGAATGTATTTTAGTTATTAGAAAAGTTTCATTCCAGAAGCAATTGATTTTCGACAGTTTAAAGTAACAAGAAATTAATATTTGTAAGACTTCTAGGCATATAAATCAGTTGAAGCTTAATGAAAAATACAATATATCATTTATTTTCTGCAATGTATTTATCTATTGTAAAATTTAATATTTTCTGTACATTTTATTCTGAATGCTGCCGTATTCTCATACATAATCATAAAGTTTTCACCGTATTTTAATTTTGTTTGTTTTGTGATAAAGTACGACCTTAAATTGAAATTATCGGATAACCTACGTTCAGTGTTGAATGAGTGATGCTAATTTCTTGTCACGGTTCAAGTGTACACAAGAGGTAACCGTGTATTGTGCATTATTCAGTTAAGTATGTTGTGGAAACTGTTATAAAAATGTAAAGACAAGTTTTAGCTCAGATACAGAGAACTTTGGCAATCATAAATTATAGAGTATGCAGGAATTAGACGAACACTTAGCTCTCAAATCATATCTAATTCTAAAACCTTCTGACCAAAAAATGATTACTTCACTCGGGTAGAGAAGGTTAGTATAAAAACATATGGCAAGAATGTACTGACGTACAAAAATGTTTTCGAAGAATACTTAAAATCTCAGAACATCACGGTGTTCATAGTGAGACTTGGTAGGTTTGATAATAATAATAATAATAAATAGAACTACTTTCTTAAATTACAAATTAAAAAAATAACATCGTCGCCTACCATATATACTTGAATAATCCCCTCCTATTTGACATATGTTATCTTCCTCCCTAAACAAGGCCAGGTTTTAGAAAGTTTAATCGTTAATCACACTAAGTTTTTATTTTAAAGTAAGATTTCTAAATTACGCCTGTTGCACATATTCATAATGTGCCGGAAGAAAATAGTGGCCTTTACGTTTAATATATAAATAACTAGCGCTTTTAGGATGATTTGACTGCTAGTTTTAATTTTGTGGTTTGGCAGCTTGTACACGATTTGTTTTTTCTGTAGGAATATTCAAATGTTTCCTAAACATATATTCTACAAGCTTCTTTTGCAGAAACTTTTCTATAAAAAATAACTTTCACGAAAGTAAACTGCGGTGTCTCTCGGAAGGCATATCAGTAGATAATAACCAATACTTCACTGTCAAGCGTCTGTTTTGGAACTTTCATTAAAGCGTATGTCTAGGTTATAAGTTGATTCACACTTCAATGGTAATGCGTAGACACTTTTGCCTAGTTTCTGTACAAGATCCTCGGGTTTTTTTATTGTTGGGTTATTGTAACGTGGATATGAGTGTGTTTTACGAGAAGAAAATTTTCTTTGGTTGAAATATTTATAGGGAGTTGTAGCAAGTATCAAGTCCTCGTCTAGGTTATCTGGGTGATGTAACAAGTCTTGTATACATAGTTTTGTACATTGACTTGTTGACTCATCATCACCAATTCTATGATGATAATGAAAACTGTTACAATGATCTCTGAGGGCCATTGTACCTTTCGAACTTGCAACATTTTCACTTTTAGAATCTATTACCTCATTAGCAAAGTTATGTGCAAAACAATATTCCCATGGAAATTTTGATTTTGGTGATGATGATGACTGATAGCCACTTTCGTCTCCTGAAACCCCATCTTCACCATTAGTTGGAGCATCTTCATCAATAAATCCAATTGATGCAAAGGGATCACCATCAGGCAAGTCTTCGAGTGAAGGTGAGTAATTTGTGTCGCGATCTGGATTTACAGTGACTTCAGTGTTATCCAAAGGATTTGATTGACTCTTATTTTTAAAGCTGTTTTCATCTTCCAGAGGGTTAGTGTTGTTAACAACTCGGGATAATGTGGGGTTAGGAGTTTCTTTGTTTGGAATTGGATTCCAATACACCAAAGTGCTCGTTGTGTCACTACTGGTGCTGCTCAAAATATGATCAGAAGCCGAGTGACCATTGGACTGCTTGCGAGCAGGGTTTGAATTTGTATGCCAAGATCCACCAGGCGGAACAACACCTCGGTGCTTTTTGAAAGTCCTTGTTTTGACTAATTGAATCCAACCATTTCTAGCTTCTGGATATTGAAGACAACGGACAAGAAAGATGAGAAAGCCCTGAAGAGAATTAGCAATGCAAAAGACATACTGGAAGACCAGTTTGGCTTTACCTACCGCCAGGACTCCAAAAACCCACGTGACCCCCAAAAGAGTCATTACAGTGAACGCTCCACGAACCTGAGCAGCGATGACTGCATAAGAACTACTGTCGATCTGAACTCTGGGTTTAGTGTTCATCCGAGGTGTGAACAGTACTCTGGTGACCATTACAAACACAGCGATATTTACCAGTAGAATGAGACACGAAGGACCCAAGAAGGAGATGTAGTATACATAAGGATTGGCTGGAGAAAGCATGCAACTAGAGAAAGATAAGAATAGTGCTTGTTACGTATCCACACTATAAACACTTTAGTTATGCCCAAGTCATACATAAGAGTAAATTTATATCATTTTAAAGTTATTGGCATTAGAATATACATTTACACAAAATATAGAATTATACAAACTCTAATTGATGTAAAACACCCTCAATAAATATTTTAAACAAGCTAAGAAACTGGGGATGTATTAAATTAATTTTAGTATCAACATTGATCCAGTCATTAATTCCACTAACAACTTACTCTTGTAATTAAAGAGTACCAAAACAAGTATCTTCAGATTATTTGGTAAACTATGGAAAACAGTCTCTCTCTAATAGTTGGCTCATATAAGTTAAATAGCTTAGAAAAGATTTAAGTGTTGAATAACATTAGATAAAGTTTAAAGTCGTACTTACAGTTTATTTTTGTAACCATACTCTTCAAAATTGATCCCAACCGCAACACCAACTATTAACAATGGACAACCTGAAGAAAATAGTTGGTTAAGCAACTTGGTAGTTCAAATCATCATATTGATCTAGTGCAAACACACTTTAGATACAATAGATGAATTATGCTTTATATAAAATCACTTAATATGTATAGCATCATTCTCTCTCAGTATCTTAATAAAAAAAACTAAATTTTAGTGACTGTTTGGAACATACGATTTAGAATAAAATACTTTGTCTATCTAGCTGTATTAACATAAAATACTTTGTCTATCTAGGTGTATTAGCAT